ACACCCTTGCCGGCCTGTGATCAGTGGCCACTGATCACAGCTCCCATCCTGCAAAATTTGCCACCAAATTTTGCAAATTTTATACAGCAATGACGATGTCGTACGACACCCCCTGCCGGCCTGTGATCAGTGGCCACTGATCACAGCTCCCCACTGATCACAGGTCCTAACTCTCAAAATTTGCATCAATATTTTGCAATTTTATACAGCAATGACGGTGTAGTGCGACACCCCCCCGCCGGCCTGTGATCAGTGGCCACTGATCACAGGACGCAACCCACCTCACAACCACCTTTTTCAACGTCCACCTCTCATAGACAAACAAGTATTTATAAGTGCCGACAATTCGTGTCCGCCCCAGTCACTGAAAAAGCGTCGCTTTCGTACGACAACAACGCACCTTCACGAATACTGCAGAGAAAATGGGACTACAATATAGAGTATAGGGAAGGAAACCCCAAAAATCTTTTTAAAGACACTTGTTTACATAAACAGATAGAGGGAAGAGGAGATGCAGCCAGAGAGGCGGAGAGGGAGGGATAGAGAGAGAGAGGGATACAAGGAAGAGAGATGGACACAAATATAGAGAGATGGACACACACATAGATAGATGGTCACCATAAAGAATTGGATAAACATATAGAGAGATGGGTATAAACATAGAGAGAGACAGAGACAGAGACAGACAGAGAGATACAGAGGGAGAGACAGAGCGGTTTATCCAACCATTTGTGCAATCGGTGGTATGCACTCCATTTATTGTCCAGCTAGGCATTATGGAATTCTAAAGGAGGTGATGGTTACTTAGTCAATATCGTGCCACCGTTAATTTTCTCAAACAATTAGACCAATGGCAGTAGGATGACTAATTCTACTTTAGTGGTCCTTGTCTACTTTACGAGCGGTCCTGGGCGAGTAAGGTGATTCCTTACCGTCTCAGGTGCACCTTGTCAATAAACAAACACTTTCATATGTGATCTTCGTGATCCCCTCACACAACTCACACAAAGCCATCACAAAATGCACACTGCCATCACAAAATGCACATTATCAGTGTGAGAGTTTTTATTTCAAGGTTGACGTTTGAGAGTTTTGAGATGCGTCTCACAAAACCGTCACAAAAGATTCACGAAAATGTGTGATGTTTGAGACGATTTTTGTCATGATCACAAAACGTTCTCAAAAAGTGCTACAATTCAACAAATATTCACAAACCATGTGTGACGAATAAGAAGATGGCGTGAGACGAATGAGATGAAGGCGGCGAAAAGAGCAAAACTCTCACAAATCGTCACACAAATCGTCTCACTTTTTGTGACGCCCTAAATCGTCACAAAACGGAGCACAGGGATATAGTGCCATCCCCCCAATAGTGCTATAGCTAAAGGTATGTCACGCTATAGAACTATATCGTAGGAGGCACTGTATACGATTCCGTATCATAATCGGCCAATCATCATCCACCAGCTTCTCGCACGTGTAAAACATTGCGTTTTGGTCACCACGTGTATTACATTGCATTTTGGTCGCCACGTGTAAAACATTGCATATCGATCAACACGTGTAATACATTGCATTTGGGTCCACACGTGTGATGTGTTTGTCGCGCGACAAGATCTACAAAAGCTGTATGGGTGGCTACCCATACTAGAATCAACCTCTAAAAAATTAACAAAAATTAATCTAGTTCCAGTATGGCTGGCCAGCCATACAGCTTTTGTAAATCTTGTCGCGCGACAGCCATTATATGTTACAGGGTGGTTGCTCAATAGTGCCTACTTTAGTAGTGCTTCCCTCTATATAGTGCTAATTATTTAGTTGTGTTATACAGGCTTTGTTGTGTTTGTGTTAGCAGTGTGCTTTGTCCCGAAATATATGTATTTGAGCCTCCTTTATATAGTGCCATCCCCCCAATAGTGCCATAGCTAGAGGTGCTTGTCATTCTTGACATTGTGAGCGCGAAAGACGCGAGGAAAGTATATTGAGGGGTGCTGTTGCGGCAATTCTGCCGCGGGGCACCGAGCGACCTGTAATGACGGGAATCCACCCGTATTCTTTTACTCCTCACAAGTCTGCTGCCTCCCCCTTCCTATCTTCGGGGATGGCTTCTTAAGTACACGTTCCCCGGGATGAGTCGGCTATCCCCAACCCTCCCTCCCGTAATTTCCCCTTCGATCCAGCTTCCCCTTGCCCCACCGGTAGCCACCCCCTCGTGCCATTTTCCCTTCGCGCCCTCGGCCGGCGACCTGCGCGGTCTTTCTGCCCCAGCCCGAGCCCCGTGCGGCCTATGGTTTCCCTTCGTCTCCCCGGTGGCTGGCACCCCCAATTCCCCGCGCGTGCTGTCTCGCCCCCTCCTTCCCGCCTTTCGCTTGCCCGTCCTTCGGCGGTATACGGATGCGCTCCGCCCCGTGGTACGCGTGTCCAGCCGCCACCTGGCAACCGAATGCCTCGTAACACTGCTTGAGACACACAGCAATCTCACAAAACTGGGCTTCGTCTCGTTGAAAAATTACGGAAGATGGTTGGTGTGGCATTGAAATTGAATTTTTTCATTCTTTTGAGATTGACCGGTGTTTTGAGTAATCCCACGACCTCAAATTGACCAAGCAAAGTCCCAGGGCACACATCAGTGCAGATTGCAGCACAAGCAGTTGAGGACACCAAGTACAGCTTTTCGGCTCCAGCTTCAAGTACGTCTTGCCGCCACAATTTTCGATTTCCTGCTTTAGGACGTGCACAGCAGTCAGAAAACAGTCATAGAGGCTTCGTGAGACTGGAGTCTTGAAGCATTCAAGCGTCACCCTAGAAAGGCTGCACTCCAGAATACATTTTGCTTGCTTTGCATCATTCTCACCTCCAATCAATCGTTTTGGGAATAGGCCAGGCTGGTCGCATTAGAAGAATCCCTCCGTGTGTAATCATGGCTTCTCAGAAGACAGCGTTTGAAGTCTCGAGCCCATTGGCGAGACCCATGAATTCACGCATTTCTGTGCAACTCCAAGAGAGCCCGTGCCAAGCACTTCAGAGTCGCAGGACACAGAAGGTCGCAAGGCAGAATATCGATGCAAATGGAAGTGGACAAAAGCAGTAAGCAACGAGATAACTCCAAACCCCGGCAGACTCATATTTCCCCGGAATTGGCAAATCAAGCCATTAATGATGCTATTACATACTCAGGTGGGGACGTTGTGGTTATGGCTAGAACCTGTGCAAGTGGATTTTGTGATGCATTACAACAATGCTATGGTTCAGAAGAAATATCAGATGTGTTTACTGCTTGCGGCTCAGGTTTAAACGGCTTAATTGGATTGCAAGTCGCTGTAGAGCTGCAGAAGAGAGGTTATGCACCAGCGGTCTATGCTGCAGAGCAATCTAAGCATGCTAATTTCCGATCTGTCTGCGATGAAGCCGGAATCGACTTGCACGACTTCATTCCCAGCACGCTAGAGTTTTATTATGACATCGTTGTAGATGCCTTGCTTGGAACTGGCTTTGATGGGGGGGACATTCGACAACAGTACTGGACTGTTTACGAGATGCTAATCTCAACTCGGCTTGCGATTGTGAGCCTTGATGTACCATCTGGCTGGGATCTTTCGACGGGTCCAAGAAAAATTGATGTGACAGCAGATTCGTTTATCAAACCCGAAGTGCTAGTGTCTTTAGAAGCACCAAAGCTTGGATCAAATGTGTTTGCCGGGGGCTACCACTTTATAGCTGGTCGACATCTTCCTCAAAGCTACTTTTGGAAAAGGGAATCTCTGTTCCGGCTTTTCCCGGCGAGGAGTCAAACTGCGTGCTCATGTCAAGTAACCCGTTTCGCTTCGAAGGTGCTAATGGAGAGACATATGGGCGACCTGGACAATTCAATGCCACGCTCTACACGAAAAACCCTACCCGAGAATGGGTCGATATTGACAAGCACGATGACCTGTGGGACGAACTAGACTAGCATTAGAGTGTGCTCAGTGAGTTTAAGAGTGGAAATCATTGTCAAGTGCTATACAGGGACTCTAGCTGCGAAAAAACGCTGTCTACTGGCCAACTTTTTTGCTTAACGCGACGCGCCACATAATGTAATTCGACGTGGCCTGCGTCAGCGCGGAAGCTGTGACTTTTCCGGTTTGTCGCCATACGAACCCACACGCAACACCGGTGACACAGGCGGAGGCCATGTATCGAACGTTTGGCGGGTCATATCCAAGTTTTGATTTCCCTAAGTGTGCAATGCCGAAGGCACCAGACGCGATGAGTAGTGCAGATATGGACCGGTGGCCTAGGCGTTGCTCCAACATATTCTGAATCATACCCCTAAATATAAGCTCCTCGGTAACGCCGTTCATGAATATGCCTAGGAAAGTGGCGGCTTCTTTGGCCGCGTCTAAACGAGGTGGCGTCTTGACGTCAGCAAACCGGGTTAGGGCGGCAAGTGGAACGGTGATGAGATCAGAGGCAGCACCCACAGCTAGCGCTATCAGCACATCGACTGGGGTTACCTTGAAAGTGTAGCCCAAGTCACGAGCGTGGGCCAGCTTTGAAAAGGGCGTAGAATTGTGAAGCAGTTCACGACTGTCAAAGCTGCGGTGAACAAGCCCCAGGCTGTAACCTTTCCAGTCGGTGATATGTCCGATGACAACAGCTTAAATTCCAGTGGAAGCCAGATGCAAAGAACGGTAATCAGGTCGGCCATTTCGGAGCGAAGCGATGAGTGGTCGTCTGGCTTTGTGAGCTGAAGCAGTGACGGGATGAGGATATACGCTATGTAAATTGCCAATATAGGGACTGCGCGGCGGCGACCGTCCATGATGTTGGCTGCACCGGCGAGGCACACTGGAACCAAAACTAATAGCACCGTCCAAGCTGCTTGCCATCCATGTCCAAATTCGTTGACAAATGTCGAAGAAGAGTAAGCCAGGAATAAAAGAGTCCAGCACATCGAGGCTGAGGACTCCAAAGTATGGGCTCGGCCGCCTGGTTCTGGCATTTTTGGAAAGCCGCGGTCAGTCATTGGCTCCATGCTGAAGGATGGAACAAGATTCTACTCGAACAGTGAAGTACAACACGGTTGAAGCTGTTTCAATTGTCTCTGCGGTAGCCGGAAAACGCTCTTGTAGAAAGCAGGGTTGCCTTGAGCACTTTGTCGTTGCTCGCTGCGATTTTTGCGTTTCTAAAAGGTTTACTAGGAAGGTACTGTTGCACGTTGTGCGCAGCGGATGAGGAATCTGGATCAACCATAGTGAGTAATCGGGATTGGCAGTACGAAAACGTGTAGGTGCTGACACTGCAAATTGCGCAGTGTGCGGACACACCGGACGATTGCAGTGCTGTTCATTCCAAGACATGTTTCAATTATGGATCTTGCTTCATGGCTGGACGCAACCGTTCGAGTCAAAAGGGATCGTGGAAGGGACTTGGCAAAGAGGTCTAGACGTCCGTTGGACAAGGGAGGACGCGGTGAACGTGGCAGGTGAGAGGGGTCTGTCAGTTCCTGGCTGGTGGTCGAAGGGACATAGGATGGGGTATTTGAGAAGGATGGAGGGAAGCGGGGGGTGAGCGAAGGAGGAAGGGGGGAAGCGCGCTGGCGTCTGAGTCGTCGCTAGTTTGGCTGTGACTGCTGTTGCGGTTGTTTGCTGATTCCCACCGTGGTCTGTCGTTGAGGCTGCAGCTGTTGGCTTGCAGTACGGCTGTTTTATATTGTGTTTGTTGCTGATCTGCAACTGTTGTTGCGCGTTAGGCTTTGACTACGTGCTGTGTGACTAAATTGGGTTCATCTGTTTTTGTTGATTTATCCATTCGTGTATCTCCTGAGAACCAAGTCTGTCTGATTTGTCCGGAGATCACTGCTCAACATCCTGCGGACTGCGCTTGCAGGTTGTACCTGCAACATTACAATATTGTAAAAGGCGCGCAGCTGCTCGCTGCGGCAGGTGATAGCACAAGGGACGAAAAGGTTCTAAGTGTTGAAGGTCAAGATGGCACCTGGGACGCGTGCCAATCCAGAAAGGGGCGACGAAGCGTCGGATGATCTGAATGTGCCGGAAATTGTGCAAGTTCCGACGTCACCCGATCATGGGCCTTCGCTGAGAGAAGAAGCGGAAGTGACACCGGGAACGTTTGTGAATAATCAAAGCCGGGATGCCTCAACCATGCTGCGAATGGAGCAACTGGAGAGTTCCATGTCACAACTCCTCAAGGCTTTCGAGTATCTCCAAGAGAAGCATGTTAGCGAGGCATGCGCAATTGCCTCTGTGCCACAGTCACAGCATCTTGCCAGCCTTGAGGACGAAGGAGTTGAGGAGGAGCATTTGTCAACATACCAAGCTCCTCAAGGGACTTTTGTCGACAGTGGCCGCCATGCAGCAAGAATGGACCACGCAGCTTCTAGGATGGAAGTAAATGCTTCAAGGCCATTCTCGGGAGATTATGAAATATATCCCACGCATATTGCGTACAAGATCTATCAGAAAGGGTTACAGAGCACTCGATGCAGGAGCATTGGGGACGGATCATTCTTCGTAGCAAAGCGCTGTTGGGATAGATTGGCTGCAGATTTTCCAACCACACAAGCGGGAATGAAAAGGCTGCTGCCGTTGGCATTTGATGGAGATGCCAGATTGGTGTATGAGGAGATTGCCAGCTTCAATTCTGATGTAAGCTGTGAGAGGCTCTGGGAATTGCTTTCCAAGAGGTTATGCAATGAAATTCACCAATCTGCCCTTCGCGATCGATTTTTCGCGATGTACTGGAACGAAAAAATTGAGACATTTGAGAAATATGCATGGCGTCTCCGTTCGGCTTCTCTGTTGCTCCCAGATGTCATAGACGATGGGCTGCTACTTAATCGTCTCAAAAACGGTCTGCCGAATCGCTTGCAGGATCAAGTGAAGCTCGTCTCCGGAACGTTGGATGAGGTGGTATGCAGAGTTGCTACTTTATCTACGGCAAAAGGCAATCGATCGGAGATGGTGCGTGAAGTCCGTGAAAACGGAGGGACAGAGAAAAGCAGAGACGGCATGCTGAGAGAAGACCGCTTCGCGAGCTTCCGATGTCACTACTGTCAGAAACTTGGACACATCTCTCGTGACTGTGAGAAGAAGAAGAGTGACAGAGTAAAACAGGAAAAAGGCAGGGCGGATCAGCAAAGCCCTGCTGGTCCGAGCCCCAAACACAACTAAGGCGACACTCAACTGTAGCAACGGGTAGGAAGAAAGAATGCGTTTGTGCATGCATTGAGCCCGTGCTACAGGAGATTGGCGATGCAGAGGAAGTCTCAGTGCTCGTCAACGTGTCTGGAGAGCGTTTGTGGGTGCCAGTCGACACTGCTGCATTGTCTATTTGGGTGGACCGGGCTTGGTTCATCCAAACGGGAGAAGAAGTGCTCCCATGTGATGAAACAGCAGAAGCTGTTGATGGACATCACCTGGAAGTGGTAGGAAAGGGCGTGTTGAAGTTTGAGCTATGGGAAAGACATTTTGAAGAGGAGGTCAAGGTGCTCCGCCATCTGCCGGACAAGCTTCTGATAGGACGCCGATTCTGGAGAAAAAACAGGCTTCGTCTAGATCTGGCTGCTAATTATGGATCTATTGAAGTTCATAGGACAATATTTGCTGGGCAAATTGGGAAGCTTCATTTGTCTGGCACGCCCGAAGCAGTATGTAGAGTGATGTAAGGGGCAAGTGTTGACCGGTATCTAAAGGTTGAAGCGGACTACTCTGAATTCTCATCAGATCCTCATATGAGGGGAAAACTCCATGAGTTGTTGTGGTCAAGGCGTGAGATCTTCAAAGGTCTTGGCAGAATCAAGGGAGTAAACCATGAAATAGTTCTGAAAGAAAATGCAAAACCCATTTGTCAGCCTTTGCGTAGACGCTCTCCAAAGGAGCAAGATGTCGAACGGGAAGCAATGCAGCGTCTCATCGAGCTTGGTGTGCTCGAACCCAGTACTTCCCCATGGGCATCTAACAATGTCTTTGTTAGAAAGAAAGATGGAAGTATTCGTGTCACCTCAGACTTCAGGGCTCTGAATGACGCAACTGTTACAGACTCATACCCAATGGAGGACATGAGACAGGTCCTGGACTGGTTGGGCAGCAAAAAGGTTTTGTCCACGTTCGATCTCAAAGATGCCTTCTACCAAGTCGAACTGGAGGATCACTCGAAACCACTGACAGCCATTCGGACCGTGGTTGGATTACTACAGTACACGCGTCTGCCTCAGGGGATGAAGAACTCCTCTGTGACGTTGCAACGAATCATCAATATCGTTCTTGGGGATCGAAAAGGGCAAGATGTTTTTGCATTCATGGATGATACTAGCGTTGGAACCGAAACCGAGGAAGAGCATTTATCGTCCCCAGAGTCCCTACTTGACACTTTGCTACAGGCGGGAGTGAGGCTTAAGCTTTCTAAGTGTAGTTTTGGTGTGAGAAGCACAGAAATCCTAGGCCACCGCGTGGACAATGACGGCATTCGACCCTCAGAAGCTCATATCGAGGCAATCGGTCGCCTCGTAGAACCGGCATCAGGGGACGAGTTAATGAGGTTCTTGGGGCTTGTCAATTTCTTCTCTGAATTTGTCGACCACTTTTCAGAGACTGCTGCACCCTTGTACCAAGTGTTAAAAGGTACTGGATTCTCCAAGAAACGGAAGCATGGACAGAAGTTCAAGATACACGACTGGGACGAGCGATGGGGAACAGCCCAGAAAACAGCATGGAAGCTCCTCAAAGGGGCACTTCACAACCCGGACATTCTTGTCGCCCCGAGACGCGGGATGCAAAAAAGGGTTATGACCGACGCAAGTTCATATGGGCTTGGTGGTGTTCTTTTGGAAAAGACTGAGGAAGGGAAATGGAGGCCAGTTTGCTTTACAAGTCGCTTAATGAAGCTGTCCGAGCGGAAGTTCACAGCAACAGAAAAAGAGTGTCTGGCTGTTGTCCATGCCTTGCGCAAATGGCGTCACTATTTGCACGGAGAACGCTTTTTGGTGATCACTGATCATCTGGCTTTGCGTTGGCTGCTCAGCCTGAAAGATCCTAGAGAACGCTTAGCCAGGTGGGTCGTAGATGTACAAGATTTTGACTTTATCGTGGAACATCGCGCCGGAAGAGAACTGGTCGTGCCTGATACACTCAGTAGGGACGCAGTACCGAAACCGCTGTGTCAACGCTGCTACAGTTCGCTTGATGCCCAAACAGTGGAGAAAATCACCCTGAGAGAAGAGGATGCGCGGGTGGAGTCTGCTGTGAGAAGCATGCAAAGGGAGCGTGTGTCAGCAGTGGTGGAGGTGAACGCTTTTGCCACTGGCCCTTCTTTGGAACAACTAAGGAATGCACAGGAAGAGGAATTCGGGTGCTTGAAGAAGGCGGCCGATGGCAGCAGGAGGATGTTCGTAGACGATGACGGCTTACTACGCATTGAAACTGGAAGTGACCTGGCCATTGTAGTTCCTCGATCATTTACACAGGACATACTGAAGCTGGTTCATGGATCGAAACTTCACGGTCACTATAAGGTAATGCGGACGATTGCGAAGCTGCGAAAAAAATATTGGTGGAGAAGAATGGTCCCGGATGTCATCAAATTTGTCCAAAACTGTATGCAATGTGCAGTATCCGATGAGGAGCGTCCCCAAAAACGGGCTGCTTTGGAGGTAGTTCATCCAAGGCGCAGATTCGAACAGGTAGCAATCGATGTCCAAACTATCACACCGCGAACAAAGGCAGGTAATGTGAAGATACTAGTCATGATAGACGTCTTCACACGTTTTGTCCGCGCTGTTCCGATCCCGAATGAAAAGGCAGAAACTGTTTCAAAAGTCTTGCTGGACGAGTGGATTGCTGTGTTTGGACCCATGGAGAAGCTTATGTCAGATGGTGGAACGAATCTGGTTAGCAATGTTGTCGAGAATCTAGTAGAAAGGCTAGGAATCGGAAGAATGCGGACGTATCCGTGGCACCCGCAAGCAAACGGAACAGTGGAAAGATGGAATCGCACCGTGGCAAAAGACATTGCCAGCTTCATGACCACTGGTGATAGCGATTGGGATGAGCATGTCGCACTAGCGTGTCTACGTTACAACACAAGCGCTCACACTGCAACGGGAATGACCCCTTTCGAGGCCATGTTTGGAATTCAGGCTTTTGAGGCCTGGAGAGAAATGGACCTCGAAGGAGTGGAAGAGGAATCTGAAGATCTGGCGAGGCGATTGGCAGCTCTGCATAGGACGTTGCTCTCGCGAGGCAGGAACGCTCGTGTGCGTGGCAAGACTCAGTATGACAAGGTGGTGCATGAAACTGTGTTCAGTGTAGGTGATAGAGTGCTGATGTGGTCTACCAAGCTA